CCCTTTTTGAGTTCCAGACCTGGCGGCTTGAGAGACTTGTCCCTAAGTGCATTGCGTGCCTGCCCCAAGTCCCATGAGTAGAATGAAAGAGGCAGAAAGAGAGGAAAAGTGGGAAATCAGTTCCCCACAACCCCGGGTAGGATGGCCATGCTGCAATCCCTTGTCTTCCATTCTCTTCTCAAGATTTTGGGCGCACACACACACACACACACACGGACTGGCTTAATTTTCGGGCTGCTGGGTCCAGGAATTGAACTGCAATCTGCCATATGAGAGCCCAGTGCCTTAACTACCACACCACCTACTGACCCCAGTTTATTCTTTTTTTAATATCAGAGAAAATGTAGTGGTTGTCATTGGTACTACCATACCACCTACTGACCCCAGTTTATTCTTTTTTAAATATCAGAGAAAATGTAGTGGTTGTCATTGGACATCATCTGAGAGACAATTTTTTTTTAGCGTCATTCATCTAGATAATTAAAGTAAAAAAGATAAAAGTTATAGTATGCACTGAAAAGGGTTGATGTTTCTCCTTCTACAAAATAGTGATATTTTTAGGATTCAGATGAACTTAAGCCAAAAAAAGAAATGGCAATATATATATGTTATTTTTTCAGTACGATTGTTCCATTTCTTCTGCATGACCTGATGGTTTAAGGCAGCCAGATCTCATATGGCAGACACTATAGTTCAAGTCCATAACATGGTGGCTTGAGAAACACGTGCATGTGTGCCCAAAATCTCCACAGGAAGAGAGACGAAGGGATTGCCTGTGACCATTCACCATCAGGGATGCTTTCTTCTCTCCCCCTCTCTCTCTCTGAATCTCTCTGGTGAGTGTACCTGCCCTTAAACCGAAAGAAAGAAAAAGAAAGAAAGAAAGAAAGAAAGAAAGAAAGAAAGAAAGAAAGAAAGAAAGAAAGAAAGAAAGAAAGAAAGAAAAATAGAAAGAAAGAAAGAAAACTAAAGAAAGTAAAGAAAAATAAGTCCCTTCTCTGAAATAATTTGTTTTCTGTCAATTTGGAGGAGTAAACTCATTTTCACTTCATGTAGGAGAGCAATGAGTAGGAGTTATAGCTTACGTGTTTTGACTTGTTTGGAAAAACCATGATATAACTATTAGAAACTGAAGATACTTTCGAGATCATGTTCTTCAATGCCTAATTTTACAAATAAGAACCAGAAAAGTTTAAATATTATAAAAGACTGAAGTATAGACAGACTTGGAAATACAGTGACACTCTTGCCAGTCCAAATTGTCTCTTTACCAATTTAGGTTTGGTGAAAAACAGATGCAAATAAAAAAAAAAAAAAAAAGCAAGGTTTGAAGACCTCCAAAGAATTTGGAAATACTCACTAATGCAAGTCTAAATTGGAAGATAATGAATAGAAAGGAATCTTTCTGCCTCTTGGCATCTAGACTTGCCCTCTAGCTCAGCCCTCATCCATATTTTAGCATAACAATTTCAGTGCTGGCTGACAGTGCCACAAAGCTGGGAGCACAGGTGCTCAGGTCATGGGAGCCTCGGCCACATGGACTCTGGATTCCTCTGGTTGTACCTCTCCTGGTTCACACTGAGCTGTGCGTACAGTTCCTTTGCTTCGTCTCTCTCCAAAAAACACAAGACAAAACAAAACAAAAATGCCCAAAACTATGGTAGATTTTATTGAGAACCTAACGTCCAACCAGTGTTTTCATTGGGTATGCATCAGGACAAATAACCGTAAAATATAATTTAAGTGTTTGCAATCCTGTCTGCTCTCCTTGCTCCCCACAGGAGGTGTGCCAGGCTGTCTTGGTTTTCCTCTTTTCTCGGTTCGAGTCCTGGACCTGGTGGCTTAAACTCACCCGGGCGCGTGTGCGTGCATGCCTAAGATCCAGAGAGGAGAATGAAGGAGAAGGGATTGCAGCGTGGCCATCCTCCCTGGGGGGTGATTTCTCGCTTTCTCTCTGTCTGTCTGGCGAGCACACACACAATAGCAAAATACCTCTGCAAAAAAAGAAAAAAAAAAGAAAAAAAAAATCATGTCGGGCACTGTTAGCATCTACCCGGGGCTTGGCTCAAACTACGGGGGAAGCAGAAAGAATGAGACAGAGGGATAGAGTAACAGTGGACACAGGCAGCCCGGGCCTAGGTAACCCAAGAAACTTGTGCTGCCCAAACTGGGTGCCTTTACTTATAGGCACGACATGTGTGTATTTCATGACATTCCATAGATAGTTTGATGTGTTACAGACAACAAGAAGCAGGTAACAAATCTGTAAGGGTTTAGACATACTGGGCCACGTGTATCCCTTGGTGATAATCCCATCAAGGAGAAATCCCATTATCTTCTTTTCTAATGGAGAAGTCTGGCTGCAGGTGTGGGGAAGAAACATAAACTAAAGAATCTCTCCATAAGGTGGGCACCACCACACCCAGAGAAGGCTAAAGAATCTTACAGAGGCAGAGCAGGGATTGGACTTTGCTAATTGGGGTCAAGATGTTTCCTGAATGCCATCAGATGTGTCTGTTGGAACACCCCTAGCAATTTCCACACTTTGCTCTGCCTGCAGCGAGAGTAAAGGAAAGGACAAGCTGCAAGGTTCTGCCATGGCCCTAAGGACAGGTGGTGTTTGCTCATCGCATGTCCCCACACCTCAGGACCTCTCTCAGCACATGTCCCTACAGGGCACCTGTGCATGTGTGTGAAGAAAGTTAAGGAGAAGGGGCTGTGGGCATGGCCATTGCCACCAGTGGGTGATTTCTTATTTTCCCTCTCTCTGTCTCTGTCTCTCTGGCAAGTGCAGTCATGCTATGGCAAATCCAAAAAAATAAATAAATAAATAAAAAAGAAACAAAACAGTTAAAACAAAAACAAAAAATGTTGGGAACCAGCAGTTAGCGTAATGGCTATGTCGCTGGACTCCCACGTAGTCGACCGTGGTTCGATTCCCGGACCTGGTGGCTTAAAACTCACGCCGGGCGCGTGTGCGTGCGTGCCCAAGATCCCGAGAGGAGAATGGAGGAGAAGGGATTGCGGCGTGACCATCCCCCCTGGGGGGTGGTTTCTCGCTTTCTGTCTCTATGTCTCTCTCTGTCTGTCTGGCGAGCGCACGCGCCCTACAGTGAAAATCTCTCCAAAAAAAATAAATAAATAAATAAAAACAAAAAATGTTAATTACACTATACTCACAAAATTAATTTTGCCTAAAACTATTATTTCAGTTTCAAAGACCTATCTAAGAAATTTGGATTTACAGAAATATCTCTCAAAATATCAAAAGAACAAAGCTCTTATAGAAATAATTGCTCTAAATTTGTGAAACAGTTTAAAATCAAGTACCATACGCCTACAGAGCCTCTTTAGAAATGAAACGGAAAAAAAAACAAACCCACAAATGAAAAACTACTAAGACCCAGTAAGAGGTCAATAAATGCCAAAAGCTTTTCACTCTTAAACGAAATCTGTAATCTTAAGAATTTACTAGAGCAGAACCTTATAAATTTGCTATCAGAACACAGTAAGGATGAAATCTTGCTGCAGTCTGAAAAGCTCCCTCCTCTGTGATTCAAGGTCATGGTTTGTGTTGCTGTTCTATGTCAGGTGTATTCTGGTAATTCTAACACATTTCCCTGTTTGGCCACTTGTTTTAAAGAATTTGAATATTAGCTCTAATTTCTAGTGGCAATTTCATCATTCTGTTTTTGAATGAGTATGTTTTATTTGATCCTTCACCTTAAGCAGAAGCAGATTAGTTTGACAGATTTAAAATGTAGAGTTTTGAATTGTATTGCACTAAGTTACTATGGAGACCTTTGACCGAGTAGAAATGACATTCTTAGATGAAGATGTTTGAAGACAGTTAGACCAGAAGAAAATAAAATTTATTTCTAAAGGGATGATTGATCTAAAACAATTATGCAAAACTATAAAAACAGAGAGAGAGATCCATCACGAACGTCTTTAAAAATGTCTTTTTTTTTAACATTTTTAAGAGGACTACTATTCTATTTTGCTCAATTAAATTATGGAAAAGCTCTGGTAATGTGGAATAGCACATGGAGTCTGTAAATGAAAATTAAGATAACTTGTCGTTCAACTGCCCAGGAAAGTTTAAAGTGCATGAACTCCTCAGAAAACTATGATCCCGTATGAAATCAACTACAGTGGAATGAATGGAAGCAGTTCATAGTTTTACACAGAGCCTGAGCCGCACAGAGGTCAATGAACAAGGCTTGTTTTCTGCTGATTGATGATCCTAGAAATGAAAGGTGGGAACTTCCTGTAGGGAACTTTTTGAATGTCCTCTGAAACCTTTGAATAACTAATAATATGCTACACTGGTACTTCCCCTCCACTTGTCCACTCCTGCCTGTGTATAGATAGAACTGAGTGCTGTGAGGTGAGCTTTCACTCTCCAAAAATCACTAAATGGGAAACAAAGTAGAGAAAGGGGATGAGGGGATGAGTCTTTGTCCTTTAATCAGGGGGTGAAAATTCTCATTCGGTCTTAACTTTTATAAATAAAGAATAAATGCAGTCTTAAAAGCACTATTAACAGTTAGGTTTACAGGAACCAGCACTTAGCATAATGGCTATGTCGCTGGACTCCCACATAGTCGACTGTGGTTCACGTCCCGGACCAGGTGGTTTAAAACTCATGCCGGGCGCGTGTGCGTGCGTGCCCAAGATCCCGAGAGGAGAATGGAGGAGAAGGGATTGTGGTGTGACCATCCCCCCTGGGGGGTGATTTCTCGCTTTCTCTCTCTATGTCTCTGTCTGTCTGGTGAGCGCACGCGGCCTATAGCAAAAACCTCTCCAAAAAATAAAACAGGTTTACCTTCTTTGGCTCTTCATTGTCTTGCACTTATCTTCAATTTTCTTAATCTTTCATTTTCTGTATTCCTGTTTATAGTTTTCCCACTTGGAAAAGAATATGTGATACATAAAAACAGAGGCGAGACCGTCTCTGGACTCCTTTGAGCTAACCTCTGTATTCACGCTGTCCGCAGGTACTGAAGGAGCAGTGTTCGGACACTCTGTGGAGACGCCTCACATCAGAGCAGAGCCATCCCAAGACCTCAGGTACGTGTTCCCTCTTCTACCTGCACTAACGTTTCCGTCGCTGTGTATCAGACACTTTGCACAAAGAATGTGCATTCCCTAGCTCTATGGTAAATAGGCACAGTATTTAACAGAGGGCAAAAAATGAGTTATTATGTTAACCTTTGCCATACATTCTCCTAATATGCCTAGAATAAAATGAAAATAAATACACTGAGTGAGAGGAATGTAGAAAAGAAAAGGAAAAGACAATTATAGAGACAATTAAGAGAAGGACCAATAAAAACAAAAGACATTACAAAATCTATCATAGATAATGAAACACTTGACACGCATACGTATAAGAGAAGAAAGGCAGAGAGGAGGAGAAAGCATTGAGTGATCAGGGAGTAAAACAGAGAGAAATAGAAAAGCAGGTGGAAACCGTGATCAGGAAAAGGCAGAACTCGATTACCCTGAGATGGCCTGCTCAGTCTAACATCTTCAGTGGGATAAACTGTTTCCTCAGTTTGCTGTTTCTAAGAGGTCCATTCATAATAACTGACCAGAAGATGGCGAGATGTTAGGGTTATAGCCAGTTCTCCTCAAGATAATCATAACTTTGTTGATAAAAATGAAAACATTTGCTGAGAGAGCTGGATTTTGGTGACAGATCTGATCCTGCCACCATGGGTGCTTCCCAGCTCCTCCAGCTCATTCCTAATTCATTGAAATTTGAAAGTTTGGGGGAGGAGTCTACCACCTAAATCCACCTACTAAATAAACTGTTTTTTATATGGAAGAAGTAGACCCTTACTAGGAACACACCTGGGATCTAGGGCTGATCTTCCCTCCTCTGACATTACCGGATCTACTCCAATAAACAGGAGGATGTGAACACTTCATCAAATGACCAAAAACCAGTGCAGAAACACAAGAAACATGAAAAAAAAAAAAAGGAAATATCTCTACCCTAAAAAGGCACAATGAACTCTCAGCAACAATAGCACAAAAGAATTCACAGAAATGTCAGAAAAAAATATTCTAAATATTCATAGAGGGAAAACTCAATGACTCAATGAGATACAAGAGAAAAAAGACAACTAGGAGATGAGGAAACCATTCCATGACTAAAAGGTGGAACTCCGTAAAGAGATAGACACCCTGAAAAAGAATCAAACAGAACTTCTAGAGTTGAAGAACACAATGCAAGAAATCAAAAATGAAAAAAATAGCCAATAAAAAACTGAAGGCAACATATGGGAAATATTACATATCATTAAATACTCAAATACCCAAATAATTGGTACTTCAGAAGGTAAGGAATCTAATAAGGGCATAAAAATATATTCCATGAAATACTTGCAGAAAACTTTCCAACCCAGAGAAACATTCAGACATTGAGACACAGAAAAGACAAATAACCCCAAACAGAATCAACTTAAAATCCTCCCCACCAGTATATTATATCTAGTTTGGTAAAAATCAAAGACAAAGAAAATATTCTAAAAATGACAAGAGAAAAACATTAAGTTACTTACAAAGGTTATCTTATTAGGCTAACATCACACTTCTCAACTGAAAAACTGCAAGGGAAGAAAGACACCATATTCAAAAACATTTAAAAAAATTCAGCCAAGAATACTATACTCAGCATATTATCCCTCAAATGGGAAGAACAAAAAAAATCTTTCTCAGGTAAAGAAAAACTGAAAGAATTTACCAACACTAGATGAACTTTTCAAGAAGCACTGAAAGGAGTACTTCAGGAAAAGTAAAGATAAACAAATAAAAATAAGAGACACAAAATAACCAATAAAATAGCTTACATTATGTCAGGTATAAGTCCACAAATATCATTAATAACACTGAATATTAATGGTTTAAATCCTCCAAATAAAATACACAAATTGACTGAATAGATTTTTAAAAAATGGAGTTATCTTTATGCATCTTGCAAGAAATGCACTTCATTAATAAAGACATACATAGACTGAAAATGAAGGGCTAGAAAAAGGCATGCCATGCAAATGAACATTCAAAAAAAAAAAAGACTAGAGTCATGATACCGATATCAGATAAATATTTTTTATTAATCTATTTTTCATTTTATTTTTATACATTCAATCACATTATTTTTTGTCTTACAAAATGGATATTTCAACAGGTGCACATTTCTCCCTAATATAGTTGATAAAATTACAAAATATGTTCAACAGATAATATCACATTTCTTTGTGACAATAATACTTTGCTTCCCTATTTTTCTTCTAAATGTCCTTCCTCAGACCTTCCTCTTGCACACATACTATATCTGGTATTTACATCTATATACTGTGTCTCTATATCCTTTAGTGAATTAGTTTCAGTCATAGACTTTTAAGATTAAAAATTAAGAAGAAACAAGGAAGGACTCTGTACAAAAAGGCAATCTGCCAAGAAAATGTAACACTTGTACATATCTATGCATTCAACACTGGAGGACTCAACTACATAAGAGCAAGAATGCTAGAGCTAAAGGGAGAGAAAGACTGTAATACATTCATCGTGAAAGACCTCAACACACCACGTCTCCTCTGGACAGGTCATTTAGCCAAAAAAATAAAAAATAAGCAAACAGTTACAGGATCTAAATGATACTACAAATTAAGTGGACTCGACAAGCATCTATTGATCTTTCCACCCAGTAATTACAAATTACACATTTTTCTCACTTTTGCATGGAACTATTTTTTTTTTTTTGAGACGGTTTTGCTATAGGTTGGATACACTCACTAGACAGAGAGAGAGGAAGTGAGAAATCACCCCCTAGAGGGGTGTCCATGCCCCAATCTCTTCTCCATTCTCCACTCTTACCCCTGGGCACGCATGCACATGTACTCAATGTGAGTTTCAAGCCTCTGGTTCAAGGACTCAAATTCTAGTCCCCCATGTAGGAGTCCAGCACCATAACTACTATGCCACCTGCTGGTCCCCACATGTAACATTTTCAAAGATTGACCACATAATAAGGCACAAAACAAGCCTTTACACATTCAAAGGTATAGAAACTACATCCTGCATCTTTTCTGACAATGGAATTAAACTTGAAATTAACTTCAAAAAGAACCCTCAAAAATACACTAAATAATGTACTCCTGAGTGACTTCACATCCACAGAAGAAATTAAAACTGAAATGAAAAGATTTATAGAAAAAAATAATAATGATTATAGACATTTTCATAAACAATGGGATACAACAAATATAGTCATAAGGGGAAAGTTCATAGCAATTAGTGTTTACAAGAAAAACAAATATAGAAAGATTAAAAATAGACATCCTAACAACACATTTCAAAGCATGGGAATACAACAACAGCAACAAAACCTAAAAATACCAGGAGAAAAGAAATAATACAGATTAGAGCACAATTAAGTAAAAGAGAAAATAAAAGAACTACACAGAAAATAAATTAGCTAATCAAGAACAGAGAAGGAAACTAGACAAATAAAATCAGCAATGAAACAGACAATATTACAACAAATATAACAGAAACACAAAAGATTATGAAAGAATATTATGAGTGATTATATTCCAACAAGGAAGAAAACACACTGGGTTGTCAGAAAAGTCATCACACATTTTTGCATAGAAAAATATGTCTTGGCTTTTCCAACAGCTCAAGAGAGAAGGAGAAATTTCTGGTCACATATAATCTACCAAGATTGAATCAGGAAAACAGAAAGCCTGAACAGACCAATAGCAAACAGTGATAATGAATCAGTAAGTCATTGTCTCCCAACAAAAAAATATTGAAGGTCCTGACAGTTTCACATCTGAATTACCCAAAACTTTTAAAGGAGTGCTAATCCCAATTCTACTCAAATTACTTCTAAAGATCCAAAAGAAAGTAGCCATCCCAATTCATTCTATGGAGCCTCCACTACTCTGATCTCAAAAGCAGAAAAAGACATAACAAAAAAGAAAACTGTCAACTAATATCACTGATGAATATAGATGCAAAAATTCTCAACAAAATACTAGCAAATCATATCCAACAACAAATTAAAATGATTCTACACAATTACCAGGCAGTCTTTATCCCAGGAATGCAAAGAGAGTTTTAACATATATATATATAACAGTAAGTGTAACGTATCACATTAACAAAAGGAAAGATTAAAAAAAGGATTTGATAAAATACAATATCCCTTTATAATTAATACTTTCAACAAAATTGGCATAGAAAGGACACTTTTCAACACAATAGAAGCCATTCGTGAACAAAACCATTACTGACATCATACTGAATGGAAAAACACTGAAAGCTTTTCACTAAAAACTGGAACACAACAAGGCTGAACCCTTTCTTCATGCCTTTTCAATTCGGTACTAGAATTCTTTGCCAATGCAATTAGACAAGAAACTAAATAAAAGACATTCAAATAGGAAAAGTAAAATTATGTCTATTTGGATATAGAAAACCCAAAAGAGGGACCAGAAGATGGCATAACGGTTATGTCACTGGACTCCCACATAACTGAACATGGTTTAAGTCCCAGAACTGGAGGCTTGAAATTCACACTGGGTTCGTGGGAATGAGACTAGAGGAGAAGGGATTATGGCATGGCCATCACCCCTGACGGCTGATTTCTTGCTGTCTCTTTCTCTGTCTCTCTCTTTCTCCCTGGCTAGCACATACACTATATAACAAACATCTCTCTAAAATAAAAAATAGAATCCAAAAGAAACCACAAATAAACTCTGGGAAGTAATATATGACTATAGTAAAGTGGCAGGATACAAAATCAACATACAAAAATCTCTAACACTTTTATTTAGCATCAATTAACAGACTAAGATGGACTTGATGAAAGTGATCCTATGTACAATAACCACAAAAAGTATAAGATATTTAAGGATAAGCCTAACCCTGGGAGTGAGGGGTGATTTCTCACTTTCTCTCTCTCTGGTGAGTGCATGCTCTATATAGGAAAACAAACAAACAAACAAAAACTTATTTCTCTCTTTCTTAATAAAAAAAGAAATTAAAAATTATACAGAAAAGTGGAGAAACATTCCATGTTCCTGGATTGGAAGAATAAATTTAGTCAAAAGATTGATCCCACTCAAGTTACATAACAAATTCAGTGCAATTCTGATCAAATTATCAGAGATATTGCTCACCAATATAGAAAAAGCATTATTAAATGTATCTGGATTTATAAAAGTCTCCATATAAAGCAATACTGCCTCAAAAGAATAAGGAGATGTCCTTTCTCCCAACCTCAAAATATATTACAAAGCTGTGTTAATCATTACAGCATGGAGGGACCAGCCAATGGCATACTGGTTATGTAGCTGCACTCCCACATGGCAGCCTGTGGTTTGAGCTCCAGACCTAGTTGTTTGAAACTCACACCAGGTGCATGTGTGTATATACCCAAGATCTCAGGGGGAGAATGAAGGAGAAGGGACTGTGGAGTGGTCATCCTCCCTAGAGGATGATTTCTTACTTTTCTTCTTACTATCTCTGTCTCTCTTTCTCTCTCTGGTGAATGCATATGCTCTAAGGCTAAAACCTCTATAATAACATGGTACTGGCACAAAAAAAAATGGCATGTTGAGCAATGGAACAGAATAGAGAACCCAGGAATAAACCCCCAAACATACAACCAATTGATTTTTGACAAAAGGAACCAGACAATCCAGTGCAAAAATTAAAGGAATCTCTTTAGCCAATGGTGCTGGAAAATCTGTATATCCACCTGCAGAAATAAAATGAAACTGGACCTCTATCTCTCACTATTAATAAAAAGCAACTGAAAATAGATCAACAATCTAAATATGACCTGCAACTATAAAACTATAAATGAAAAGCACAGGGAAAACTCTTGGAGACATTGGAGCAGGCAAAGACTTCTTAAATAAGATCCCCAAACCTCAGATAATAATCCTGAAAACAGACTACTTCAGGCTAAAAAAGCTGTGAAGCCAAAAATAAACCAATTAGAGTGAAGAGACAACCTTCAGAATGGGAGAATATATTTGCAAATTATTCCTCAGATAAGGGACTGATAACCAGGCTATATAGGGAACTCAAGCAGCCCAACCATTAAAGAAAAATCAATCAATCGATCAATAAACTATTCAATTAAAAAATGAGCAAATGAGCTAAACAGACAGCTCTCCAAGGAAGACATTCAAGTGGTAGAAAAGCATATAAAAATACTCAATATTTTTTATCATTAGGGAAATGTAAATCAAAACCACAATGAAATGCCACTTAATCCATCAGAATGACTAAAATTAAATAAATAATAATCAGTGTTGACTAAGCTATGGTAAAAACGAAACCTTTTTACACTGTTGGTAGAAATGTAAATTAGTACAGTCACTATGAAAGATAATATGAAGACTTCTCACAAACTTAAAAAAGGAATTTCCATAAGAGCTAAGCAATTCCACTCCTGAGCATCTACCCAAAGGATCGATACTTGTACATCTATATTTATTGCAGCATTTTTCACAATAGATAGGATGTGGAATCAACCCAAAGGCCCAATCCACCTTGACTTATTGCAGTGTTCCTTGAGCAAACATTCCCATCACGATTTTTTGCCTGGCAGGACCAGCAATTGGCATAATGGCTATGTTGCCCAACTTCCACGTAAGCAACCATGGTTTGAGTCCTGGACCTGGCGGCTTGAACTCATGCCAGGTGCATGTGCGTGCATGCCCAAGATCCTGAGAGGAGGATGGAGGAGAAGGGATCGCGGCATGGCCATGCCCCCTGGGGGGGTGATTTCTCAATTTCTGTCTCTGATTTCTCAATTTCTGTCTCTCTGTCTCTCTCTGTCTTCTGGTGAACCCTATAGCAGAAACCTCTCAAAAAAAAAGATTTCTTGCCTGGGACCTATCCCAGCTGTATTCTTGTGATCATTGTCTGGAGAAAGTGGCTTAAATTTCCTCTTCTAAGGAAACAAGCTTATTTATGACCTTATCTGCCACAATCAGATTACATCAGTCACAGAAGCAACAAGCACCAGTTAACCCTTAAAATATAAGAGAGAGGAATAAAGTAAAACAAAAAAACAGGTTTAAAAATTTTGTGTTTTTTCCCTGTTACATAATGAACACTTTGTGAGTTTTCAAAATCTGGACTGTGCATGCTTGAAAATTTGTAATATTCATGATTTTTATGAAAATTCTCATCTTTGCAAAACAGGGTCACTTTACTGAAGAACACATACCTGCTACGTTGTAGTAATTCATTTATTAAACCTCTGTCATTAATCCCAATAATATATCGAAGATTCAAACAGGTAATCTATGCGACCCACTTTTCATGAGCATTATGAAAGGAACAGCATGCAACACCGTTGCTAAGTCACTGTACAGATGAGAGTACATAACTGTGGGCTAAGAAAGACTTCTTTTAGCAAAGAATCAAAAAAATCAATAAGGCAATACAAAGTCCTTCCAAAATTCATTTTGGGTCTGGTCGAAATGGTTAGGGGCCAGTAGGTGGCGTAGTGGTTAAGGCGCTAGACTCCCATCTGGTTGACCACGCCCACGGTTCAAGACCTGGTGGCCTGCTTTCTCATTTCGCCACTGGCAAAGGTTTTGAATTAGGCCTGTCTGGTTGGTTGGTTGGTTGGTTGGTTAGTTATTTTCAATTAATGAATGTTTTCTTTTATTTCTTGGAAATAAGTCTCTTTTTTGTTAATGATTCTTTGCCTCCGTAGGCTTGAATCACCAACCAGATCCTTGATAATGGAAGCTCCTCGTGGAGTCCAGGTGAGCGCTGCTGCAGGAGAGCTCAAGGCCACCTGCCGGAAGGAACTCCACTTGCAGTCTACAGAGGGAGAGGTGAGTCCTCCAGCAGAGGCTAGCCCTTTTCTGCTGTGGGTGCTTCTTCAATTAGACATATGCTTCCCGGTGAGATGTAAAAACCTGCTCCACAGGGAGGCCAGCAGGTGGCGTAGTGGTTGGGCGTTGGACTCCCACATGGCTGAGCAAGGTCCTGGTCCTAGATCTGGCTGGAATTTAGGCAGATCCTGAGAGATTGGAAGAGAAGGCTGTGGTGTGGCCATCCCCCATGGAGGCGTGGATGTCTTACTTTTTCTCTCTCTTTCTCTCCATCAAGTTCACTTGCCCTATAGCAAAAAATCTCTCTTGCAAAGAAAATAAAAAGAAAAGAAAGGGAAAGAAAACAGACCTGCTTCATGAGAAAATTGAAATCGAATCTGAAATTTGGTTAACCTAATGTTTCCTTAAATTCAAACGCCATTTATTTTCTGTTGTTTCACAAGTCAATTGTCAACGGGGCATCTGAGTCTGCCCTTTCAGAACTGGCACATGAATGCAATTAAATGAAAATGAATAATGAAGACAATCTTGCTTTCTTTATCCTGTTTTTGGTCTTCAAAGTGTCTTCCAAAAAGTACTTTGTGTGCTTCTTGTTTCTGTCGAAAGAGCTCATGTGTTTTTCTGAAAGGACAATAGGACAGAAGCTGATTGTATGTCCCTTAACATTACTCTCGTGTCCCCTGGCCCCCAGGAACCTCCTTCAAGTCTGTTGCCTTCCCCTTAAATACCCTTTGTTTCTGATGTCCCAGCCTTCCAATACCACGTGCTTTCCTTTCACGTTTCTCCTGACACACATTGTGACTCTTCTGTCTGCAGATTCTTTTTTTTTTTTTTTTGGAGAGATTTTCACTGTAGGGCGCGTGCGCTCGCCAGACAGACAGAGAGAAACATAGAGACAGAAAGCGAGAAATCACCCCCCAGGGGGGATGGTCACGCCACAATCCCTTCTCCTCCATTCTCCTCTCGGGATCTTGGGCACGCACGCACACGCGCCCGGTGTGAGTTTTAAGCCACCGGGTCCAGGACACGAACCGCGGTCGACTACGTGGGAATCCAGTGACATAGCCATTACGCTAACTGCTGGTTCCCTGCAGATTCATTTTTGTAAATGCTGGAAATTTCTCGGCGTTCTTTCTTGAGATCATGCTTCCTCCCCAATTTCATTTCCTGAAACTCTGAAGAAAGGCACTTTTTGATCCCCTTGGCCTCCAGACCTCCGTCCAGTCCTTGTCTGCTGTGCTTTGCTGTTTACGTATTCGCTGTTTGCAGGCTGCTCCCCACTCTCCAGCCCCTGCTCAGGCCACAGGGCCAGCTTTAACGTGAGAGGCCATGTTTTCTGTTTCTAGGAATCCCATCTGTCCTCCTTCCTACGTGTCTGGATATCTTAGTAGTTTCCTTTTTGCTTGTTTTTAATTCTGCCTTAATTATCTGAAATCATTATACATGATTCCTATTCTGTTCTGTATATATTTACTATAATTACCAAAGTCCTTGAAGGTCTAAATCTGTTGTATTCTTCTTCTTACCAAGTCATTCCATTAGTATTTTTTTTCTTTGTGAGATAATTTATTTTTTATTACAAGATTACAAAGATCAAATTCAGAAAAAAAAAAAAAAACAGAGTGGCTGGGTGATTTGAAGGAGACACTGGAGCATTCCATGTCTCTGCAGATTAATGATAGGGGCATATGTTAGCAGAATCAAAAGGAGGCTATTTCTATCTTACCTTTATTCCATTGTCTCAGTTATTGGCTCAAGATCAATTTCAATAGCATACTTTTCTTTTCATAAACAGACTTTCTGGCAAGACCACATTAGCCTCTTAGTGGATGTTACAACATAAATGACCTAGAACATACATGATACATTTTAACACTATCTCTACATATTCTTTCAGGAGTTTTCCTACTTCAGTTGCAGGTTACAGTACTTCACCTAACGTGGCAAGGCAGACATCTTTATAAACATCTTACAGCCTTCTAAAGAGTTATTTTGATCATGCTAGCCATTCTACCCATCATGGATGATTCCATAATAAATATTACTGGTTATGAACTTATCTTCTGCTTCTTTTCAGGAACCACTTTTCTTAAGGTTTTTATTTCATTTTCAGTGGAATCCTTTGATTCAGTTACATGTTAGCATTTCATTGCTAATTGAATATTACTTTATTTATAACCATAGCCAGTTTTTTTTTTTCCCCTGTGGTTTATTTGGGCATTATTAAAATGCTTTCTATTAGAACAGAAATTATGTCATTTATGATAGTATTATTTAATAATAATATCATTATTTCATTCAAAAAATGGATGAATGCAGAATACTAATATTATTATCTCATTCAAAATAATGGATGGAATGTTAATATAAAGTTCTGCACTGCAGAGGATTCAGAGTCACTATGGATGTCACATTGCAAAGGATTTCACCCAGTCCTGAGAGCCACACAGATGACGATCGTAGGCTGATCATTTTAACTGGTATAACAGCATACTCAGTGCAATGTCACGGATAATTAACAAAGAGATTTCAAAAAGTTTGTGGAAAAATAAAATTAAAATATGAGCTTATTTTGGTGCAAAAGAAAGCACAGCTTTTTTCATAATATGTATTTTCTGTAAACATTTTGAAGATCCCCTTGTACAACTTTTTTTTTTTTTTTTAATGTTTTTGTCAAAGGGTATGTGCACTTGCTGGTGAGACAGTGAAAATGAAAGTGAGAAGGTTGCCTCTGCAGAATGGCCACGCCTCGATCCTTTCCCCATTCTTCCCTTGGATTTTGGGCATGCACATGGGCCCAGAGTGAGTTTCAAGCCACCATATCTGGGACTCAAACCATGGCTGACCATGTGAGAGTCTAGTGCCTTAACCACTATACCACCTGCTGGCTCCAACCCCTTGTATATCTTCAAGATCACAAAAGGAGGAGGAAGTTTTATTTTTATTTTCAAAATCAATTCAGATTCTCTATTGAGAAAGGTAGGCCTGATTTCCACAGGTAAGAATGGGACTTAAAAGCTTAGGGCTGTGATTCTGAGAACAGGGACAGTTTTAGAGTAAATGAGTTGCATGGCTTATAAGGCACTATAAAATAGACACATCTATTTTCAGAATTTGGAAAGTGAGTATCATCATAATAACTGTTTTAGCACAGACAGGACGAGATCTGGGCCAGCTCATCTTGCTGCAGAGACCTGGAGAGGCTCGGGAACGCTGTGTTGGAGGGTGTTAATACCTAACAGTGGAACCAGCAGATGGTGTGATGGTTATGTCACTGGACTCCCACGTAGTCGACCGTAGTTCCAGTCCTGGACCCGGCAGCTTAAAAACTCACACTGGGCACATGTGCTTGTGTGTCCAAAATCCCACGAGGAGAATGATGGAGAAGGGATTGCAGCTGGCCATCCCCCTGAGGGGGTGATTGCTCACTTTCTGTCTCTTCGGCAAGTGTATGTGCCCTGTAGTGAAAATATCTCCAAAACTTATTAAATAAATAACAGCTCTTTTTACCTGCCAACTTATTTTGCTATTTCAAGCCAAGTAAATACCATCTTCTCTTTCTGAGTGCTCTATGTAAATGAGCTTATTGATTATAAAGTCTGCCACCTTTACATGAAGCTAGTTTGGATCTCAGAAGCTCATGAAAGTTAGTATTGTCATATAGTCAAACACCGTTTCAAGTAGCCATAGGTGGATGGAAGAGCCTGAGAGCACTCTTAGGGCTACTCCACAGCAGCCTCAACACCTGGCCTATATCCCCCAGGGTTGCTCCACTGACGAGGTCTCCACATCTCCTGCTGTCTAAGGCTGCCACTTGCAAGGCTTACCTGTATAGAGATACAGTCTCCACTTACTCATCTGAGCTATACCAATTAAAAGACCATCTGCTCTGGGGACCAGCGTGTGGCATGGTAATTAAGGTGCTGGACCTCCCTATGGCTCGTGGTTTGAATCCTGGACCTGGCAGCTTTCTTTCTCATTTTCTCTCTCTCTCTCTGGTGAACACACATGCCCTATAGTAAATAAAAAAATAATAAAAGAAAAAAAGAAAAAGAAAAAAAAAGAAGAGGTAGAAGAAGAAATAGAATGAAATAAGTGAATAATTAAAAAATAAAAAGAGCCCACCTGTTCTCTAATGGTAAAAGCTGCAGGTGCCGCATGGTTTAAGCAATCCTCTTCAAGCTTCCAGGCTGACCAATCACACTGACTTCCTGTGTTACTAATGAACGTGCCACTCACCATCTCACAGTCATTTGATCAGTCCACCCTGAGCCCGTCATCCCGTGTCCTTTAGTTTTCTACATTCTACTTATTAATCTATGTCTTAAAGCTTCTTGGCCTAAACACCAGCTCTTAATATTCCTTGAACGTGAATTCACCTTCAAATCTGTCGTCATAAGCCGCCAGTCTCAGAGTGGTCCTCGTAAAACACTTGATACTGTGGAAGCGTGAGAGTGTCTGCTCTCTCCAAGCAAGCTGGCTCCTCAAAAGAAGTGGGGAAGAGGCCTGAGCTTTGCTTGCCCACTTCCTTTCTCAAACTCTACCGATAAAAGGAGCCATCTGTGCTCCGTGTGGAGGAATAAGAGTCGAAAGTGTGCAACAGTTGGAGCTACACTCAATAATGTCCCTCGGCTTGGGAACACAAAGTGAGAAGAATCTAAAACTATATAGCCATGCTTTTTCACTTAGTCTATTCTTTATTCTTTCTTTTTTTTTTTTGGAGAGGTTTTCGCTATAGGGCGCGTGCGCTCTCCAGACAGAGAGAGACATAGAGACAGAAAGCGAGAAATCACCCCCCAGGGGGGATGGCCACGCTGCAATCCCTTCTCCTCCATTCTCCTCTCAGGATCTTGGGCACGTACGCACACGCACCCGGCGTGAGTTCTAAGCCACTGGGTCCGGGACACGAACTGCAGTCGACTACGTGGGAGTCCAACAACATAGCCATTACACTAACTGCTGACTCCCCACTTAGTCTATTATTAATATTCTTTCTATGAACTTTAGAAGAACCACCTCAGAGACCAGATCACAGGGTCTGTAGGCCATAAAAGACACCGTAATTCATTTGGAGTATGGTGGGAGGCCAGTAAGAGTGTTTTGAGCACTGGAGTGATGTGATACGATTTGCATTTCTTTTTAAAAATTGCTAAAGTTATTTCTTCCGTGAGCAAGAGAGATGGAGACGGAGAGACACCCCTCCAGCTGGGCCCCGTTGCGGTGACCTACCCCCATCCTCCGCCATCCTGGATCAGGGCTGAGCACATGCCGGGTAGACCCGGGGAGTCTCAGACCAGACGCAGCATCTTCCCCTTTGGATCTGCCTAGCAAGCGCCTGTTTTACTGCCTGCCACTCTCGGGTCCCCTTGATCTGCATTTCTTAAAAGTTAAACCTAGCACGAACCCGCAAGTGGTGTGGTGCTTGAGAGGCGGGACTCCCACGTGGCCAACCATGGTTTGAGCCCTGGACTCTGACTTTAAAATCACTCCAGGTACACGTGCATATGTGCCCAAAATCCTGAAAGAGAAATGGAGAGGGGCTTGTGGTGTGACCTTCCCCCTGAGGGTGACTTCTAAAAATGTCTCTCTCTGTCTACATGACAAGGGAATAAGAATGGCAACTGAGGGGCCAGTGAGAGTGACATTGCAGGAGTCCTGGTGCAATCAAATAGGACTTGGATTAGGGCAAAGACGAATACAATGAGGTATTCTCTGATTCTCCTGTCAATGGAGGGACCCTTCCAACGTGGGCCATCATTATTCAGATAACCACAGAATCTAGAACCAGCTGGAGAGAGCCTTTTCTTTTTTCTTTCAGATTTCTCTGATCCAGTTTATATTTCTTTGAAACATTCCCTATGTATGTCAAAAACATATGACTGCTATTCCTAAAGGTGATTAGTCCATGATTTAGAATAAGTGAACCAGTGGGACCAGCAGTTAGTGTAATGGCTATGTCGCTGGACTCCCATATAGTCAACCGTGGTTCGCGTCCCAGACCCGGTGGCTTAAAACTCACGCCGGGCACGTGTGCATGCGTGCCCAAGATCCCGAAAGGAGAATGGAGGAGAAGGGATTGCGGCATGACCATCCCCCCTGAGGGATGATTTCTCGCTTTCTGTCTCTCTGTCTCTTTCCGTCTGGCTGGCGAGCACATGCACCCTAGCATAGCAAAAACCTCTCAAAAAAAAAAAAAAGAAGAAGAAGAAGAAGAAGGAGTAGTGAACCAGTTTCCCAAGTTAGAATATTAAGCAAAGGAGGTGTTAATACGGGTAACATGTTGCATGGAGACTTCAGATATGATTATATATAGTAAGCATCTGTTGTCAACTGTGCCAGATAGATCAGGATGTATCCTTTAGACTGTAAGTCAGCATACGTTCATGAGCGTAATGTTTTAATTTCCCTCCTCTACAGTAACGTCCTCTCCGCTGAAACCCTTATTCCTTTGTCTCTTCTAAAGACTAGGTGTGATGTTATTAAGAAGTTAACTTGAGAGACTGACGCAATCGTTACTTGTCGGAGGAGATTGAATAGCAGGCCTGACCCTGTAAGCACATCCTACAGTGTCACTCTCTATATTGAGGGCTTTGACAAAGTGCATCATCTCTCAAAGGTGGAGATGACCCTCGAGCTTCTGAGCTATTCCACAGGAATGCAATTTGTTTGTTCAACAAAGCATAGCAGCTGAACCCGTAGATCTGTTTGTCATGGAGTCGTTCTTATTAGACCTTGTTGTAAAGCTCTGAGGAAGGTGGAATGCTGCAATGAATTAAAGTGCAATTTCCCCCCCTCCCCAGATATTTTTAAACGCAGATACAATACGGCTGGGAAATCTCCCAACTGGCTCCTCTTCATCTTCTACGTCCAGCTCCTCCAATTCTCGACAGACAGTGTATGAGCTCTGTGTGTGCGCCAACGGCAAGCTCTACCTTTCTCCAGCGGGAGTGGGCTCCACCTGTCAGTCCAGCAGTAACATCTGCTTGTGGAGCTGACGTGACTGACTTCTCCTCACACCAGAATAGCCTTTTGTTCCTGTCCGTCTGCTTCACAGTTCTGCTCGGTTTCCCTTGTGATCAGTCCAGAGCTTCTTCAAATGGTCCACAGAGCCACTTCTCCCAGTGTGAGCAGGGATTCGCCGCCACCTTCTCTGGCGATGTACTGGATTGCTCAGCACAGAGAGCGTGAGTGACAAGCAGTGAACGATCATCTTCAGCAAGGAAACTGGATCATAACTTTTGCTCAAAAGGGAGAAAAACACAGGTGCCTTTGCTACATGAAGTGAAGCACACAGTTTTAGATTTTTTGCAGGACTGGATATAAACTGCACATACATACGTGACATCGATGAAATCCCCAGTATCCAATGGCAAGATGAAATGGTTACCCCTGGAAGAAAACTAATTCTATACTCTGAAAGCACAATTTTCCATTCATCGTTTTTGGATGTAAACTTTATCCCCAATTTTAAAATTTTAAAGCATTTATGCAATGCTTGCTTTACTAAAAATTAAATTCAATACTTGAATTTTAACAAAACGAAACAAAACAAAACGAGACAGAATCCCTCCCTGAGTTTTCTTGGTTTCTTTAAATTCGATGTGTTGTTACTCTGTCTACTAGCCCAGAATTTTGTACCGTAGGTAATTTTGAAAGCACTGAGCAATATAATCTTTATAGAACTAACAAAATGCCATCATGCTGTCATTTGTCAGATCCGGATGGCCTTATATCGTATATACTTGGCTATTGCATGTGATGTATTTGCTTTTTAACAAAACATCTAATTTATTGCAATATAAGATAGAATTAAGGGTGACATACTGGTGGTGTGGATTCCATTAGGTCATCTCTATAAAAATTCACTTTCTACACCTAAGTTTAATAGCATAAGTTTTGTTTGCTCCATTCAACTTATACTTGATTCTTATTGCTAAAATTCCAAGATCTCCTAATTAAGTAAACACTAATGTGATGCATTATACTGAGAATGAAGTCACTTTCCATTGGATATTACCTTCAGAATTTTTATCTATTTATTTTTTTATTGACGCTTAAGACGTGAGGTTAGAAAATAAATTAAAATCTTGGAAGACGCAGCAAAAAGAAAAATACTAATCTATATGGTAAAGATGTATTTCCTCCAGGAGATGCATATTTTAAGAAGTTCGTCAATTTCTATTCAGCCATTAACGTTTACTTTTATGACTGTTAAGCTATCCTGACATCAGAAACCATAGTTCTTTCCATTCTCCCTTGCTTAGTTTTGTAAATTAGCTTCTAATAAATATTCCAAAATACTGTAGATTTGTTCATCTCAGCAGTCCTTAACTTGAATTTTTGCAACTTACAGAATCCAAGAATGTAAAACTTTATTAAGTATTTCCTACTAAGGGAAGATGACTTGATTACTATAAGGTAAGTCCTTACGTTTTCCATGTCAGTTAATCTATTTCCCTGAGGCACACTATTAACACATATGCAGAAGCTTCACTGAGGGTCCAGAATTGTGGAACCTTTGGACTTTGGGTTTCTACAGCTCAGAGAGAAGTAAAAGTTTGGAGCTTTTGGCTGTAATTTGGTTCGTGGGAGTGGAGAAACTGAGTAATGAAAGCAGCAGAGTGAGCCCTTTTCCAGAATTATCTCATTTGTCCATCATAGTCCATCATTTTGAATAAGTGAAAAAGTTCTATTTCATTGACTGTATTGTGGACTCCAAAAGCTCAGAAAGCTGGTTAACTTTTATTATTTAGAAAATAGAACTTGACTTGTGTTTGGGAGTTATTATAAAAATGTTTAAATCTATATTGGAATAAGAAGGAAGATGTAAACTTACTTGAAAGCTGAATCATAACACAAAAGCTTATGTTAAACATTAGAGCTCACTATGAATTCTCACGAGTGAGTCTTTGCAAAATACTCACACAAAGTATACGACGAGAAATTTGTATTGTAAAAGTCATTGTATTGTAGACGTTTAAGAAAAACACTGCATACCAATTGGAGGTATATTCAAGTTCTAATAATCACTAAATTAAAACAATTAGAGAGTTTCTTAGTCAAACATTAACATTTCTTTTGATTAATAATTGACCCTGTTTCTAATCTATTAATCAACTGAGCTGAAATTTAAGCAGTGTGAGCCTCTCTTAAGGTTCAGTTTACTCAATTTTAATAAAATAAAAGTGTTGGATCAAATGATCCATTGGAGCTTCTTCCAGATTTATATGTTCAAATTTTAAGAATAAGTTTTAAAGAAAATAGAACCACTAAAAATTTTAATTTATATGTTTTAAGAAAAGATGAAAACAATGATAAAGGAAAAATATGTAAAAACAAATCTCAGTGAAGGGCTTTGAACTGTTTTATTCAAATACATTCAGAAATGTTGTAGATATAATAAAAATACACATTGTATGTAAGCTTGAAGAATTCAGATTATACCCACATGATGTAATAATATCAACTGTCAGAGAAGAAGATAACAATACAGATGGCTTTTCTATCCAACACTAAATGATTGGTTTAAATTATCTGCTGGCTGTTTCAGCTTCCTCAAAATCTAAGTGTAGATCCAATCTTAGAATTTGAGCTTCTAGTGAAGGCTTAGAAGATTTCTCCTAAAAGTCTTTGAGTTCTTTATTTGTGAAAAACTATCTTGATTCTTTATTTATATAGACCAAGTTTCAGACTGCCCAGACATTATCTCTTTCACTATACCATCTTTATGTTAAGAGATATATAATTGAAATGAACTGACGTAAATGATGCAACTTTTTAAAGAATTATTTAATTTATTAATATTATTTGTTTAATTTGACCTGAGAGAGACAGAGAGAAGAGAGAGAGAGAAAGAGAGAGGGAGAGAGAAAAAGGGAAATTGAGCAAGCTGTCAGGTCTAGGACTTGAACTGTGGTTAACCATGTGGGAGTCCAGCACTTTAACCACTACACCACCTGCTGGATCCCATGATGATGCAACTTTTATTTTTCCTAAATCACACTCAGAAATATGACTTCTTTTACTGCACAACATGAACACTATTCAGCTATCTTATTATTATTTTTTTTAATCTTAATTACTCTGTACTCAGTTTAGCACAGAAAGACAGGAAAAGAAGGAAGGAGGGTGAGTATCCTAGCAAGCATTTCAGTTCTTGGCAGGAATGGATAAACAGATATATTCAAGTTCAGCTTTCTGGGGGTCAGAAGGAAAGATGCAAAGAGGACAACATATTTTTCCTTTCCCCTGCAGAATATTTCAGTTAAACACTTCATACAACCACAAAATGTCCATATTTCCTGGTTTTTTTTTTTTTTCTTTCTCTTAAGATCTCTTAAATTTCTACCCTACTTGTTTGTGTTATATTTTTTTCTTATTTTATTATGAACCATAAACTTGACAGACTTTGGTAATATGGTTCATATTAAAAAGAAAAAGAATATGCTTAGGTCTTATTCAAAATAATATTTAGAAAATTAGTAGAAATACCAAATGTGAAACATTCTATTGATTATTTTATTATTACTTATTTCCATTAAACTAAATAGCATTGACAATTTAAAGAAAAGATCATTTGATTATAGAGTTCAAGTGCTGAATTTCCATACATTTTTAGCCATCAAAATTCCTACATAATCTATCACCTGAGAGACTTAACAGGACAGTCCCTTACTTCACAAACATGGCATTTGATACAATAAAACTCTTAATAAATTATGTCACTGCAAAAGTGGCATCTCTGTATGAGGCCACATGGCCTGGAGCGTGTCTAACAGACATAGGGTTATATTTTAGAGCAGATAATGTCAATATCATAATTTTAAGTTATTAAAATAGTTTAAGGTATTTAACAACCAACGCCTCTATAGAACCATTCAAGTCAAACTCTTATTTATATGTGATAGGAGCGAAGTCTGTCACCCTATTCCAACCTTTGAATTAGAATTGCTCACATAACACGTTTTAATGACCCATAGAAACACGACATACCCTAGGTACTGACATATATTGTAGTCATGAATACTGCAAAATACCATCCTCATGAAGTAAAATGATACTGTGTTTTTATTTTTTGGACTATCATAAACTAATGACAGACCTCATTGAACACTGCTGTTCTTATTTTTTTGTGTGCTGTTCGTTAGTTACGTAAATGTCAAAGACCAAAGGACAGGATTTCTCTGACGTTTCACTCTATAGCAGTGCTATTTCTAATCACTTATTTAAATAAATAGGAGGGCTTATAATCACAGCATGAGGTAGTGAACATCCTTCCTTCAGGATTCTGAACTGTAGACATTAATGAATGCTTTTGTTGTAGAAGGGAAACTTCCTTATGTGACCCGCTTCTCGTTTATACAAACATAATGCACTCTTCAGTATTCATAAAGCCGGTATAAAAATACCATATCCCAACACGGGCCTGCGACAGATTAGCTCAGCTAAAGTTTAAACTTTCGCTACTTGCTAAAAATCCTTTGGAGAGTACCTTCATCTGAAATACTTTTAGAAATAGGGCTATTTTTCAGGCATTAATTTCTGTGGCTCGGCACTTTCAGAAAGTCAATGAAAAACATGCAAGGAAATGGAGTATAATGAACTGTGATTCTTTTTGTTTATCCAGTCTTAAAAATCTCATTTGTTTAAATATTTATAAGTAAAAGCCAAACAGGGTTAAAGTTGTGTAAGGACATTCGCTAACCATGGAGGTAGATAATTTGGAGTTTGAGTGTCTCGTTATTCCTACCCTTCTTTAAATCAGGTTCACTATTCATTTATTTTGTTTTGTAACTTTCATGTAAATGCTTTCTTGTATATAGAGATATATGAAAAGGAACTATTTTCTTACACATACTATGCAATATGTTTGTAAAATTGCAATATTACCAAAATTGCAAAAGCTGTGCTTTTGTACTCTATCCTGCTTTATGTAAATCAATCTTTTTCTATTTAAAGGGACTGTCTGTCCTATAAACTGTAGATAACATATCTA